AACCCGCCACCTTAGGTGTATGTGGCTGGCGCCTTAGCCACTTGAGCCACAGGCGCTGAGCCAGGGGTGAGGATATTCTTATTTGAGTTTTGGAAGTTAATGCTATCACATTGCGTTTTGGAAACTATCTTTAAAATTTGTTGGTAGTCCTGAGAGGTGATTTACTGGTTTTAATATGTGGACTGGTTAAATGTCATATGTTATTTTTTTTTTCTTTCTGTGCAGGGGATACATGGTAATGGGTGATTCTTTCAACACTTCCTTATTCAAGCAGACTTTTCAAAGGGTCTTTACCAAAGATATGCATGGACAGTTTAAAATGGGCTTTGGTGGTACATTAGAAATAAAGGTAAGAACCCAAACTTGACATGTATGTTATATTATCAAGAGGGAAACTTTCCTCATTAGAAATTTGTAGGCTTTACCATACTCTAAAAATATATGCTTTAAAAATGGTGGTTATTTTATATTGAAACCTGAACAGAAAAATGTCATCATTAAATGTTCAAGACTCGAGCATTTCTGAATAATTGTTAGCAGAGTAGAACCATTTAGGGAAAATTTCCTTTAACTCTGTTATTTCTTTATATAGAGCTCAACTTTTTAAAGTATGTTGTTTTATCTTTTATAGTGCTAAACTTATGTAAGTGCTAGGTTCCTTTTTTTTCTTTTCTTTTTTTGAGACAGTCTCACTTTGTTGCTCAGGTGATAGTGCAGTGGCATCATTATAGCGCCCTGCAGCCTCAAAGTCTTGGGCTCAAGCTATTTTCCTGTCTTAGCCCCTGCCACCCTCAAGTAGCTGGGACTACAGGTATGTGCCAGAACACCCAGCTAATTTTTTTCTGTTTTTTTGTAGATGGAGTCTCACTTTTGCTCAGGCTGGTCTTGAACTTTTGGCTACAAGCAATCCTTCTGCCTTGACCTCCCAGCATGCTGGGATTATAGGCGTGAGCCACCCTGCCAAGCCCAGTGCTACCTTTTTTTAATGGCAGGAATTTGTATCTAACTTAAGAGTACTGTTCTTTGTCCTTGATAGTAATTGTTTTATTATTAGTCAGTTATTATTACATAATTCTATCACTGATTTCAAATTTGATTTAAAAAACAA